CCTCCTCCCCAAATGATGCCAGGTGGGGGAAAGAAGTGGGAAATCCCCTTCCTAGTTCCCCAAGAGTGTCTGAGCCTTCAATGTTGAATTTTTCTTTATTAAAATGTACTTTTATCTTATAAATTTACAAATCAAAAATTACCTAGACAACAGCATTGGCTCTGTGAAGGTGGCATCTGGTGTGGGGACAGGTAGGGCATGGTATATGGAGAGGGCACAGAGATGTGGTTGCTATTTTGTGGCCTCCAGCTTTGTGGGGGTAGGTGTGAGCTGGGGTGAGCAGGTGTCAGACTGGCTTTGGACAATGAGACTGACCTCGCTGCATTCCTTTTGCTTCCACCACTCACTGCCACCTGTCTCTGGAATCCCAGGGTGGAGGGGCGCATCTTTGGGGATCATGAGCGTGGGGAGTGGGAGCAGCCTCGACAGATGGGGCTCCTGTGCCCTGCAGGTGTTGACAAGATCTGCCATCTGTAACTCCTTGGCACAATAAAACCAAATGTCAGTTTCCCGTGAGCGGCTCTGTTCTATGTGGGGCAAGAGGTGGGTGGGCCAGTGGGCAGAAGAGGAGATGGCACAGGCCTTAACTTGACCTCTGAGGTCCCCATGCTCCCTAGTAGGGCCCACCTGGGGCCCTGGAGTTTTGTTCATATTAGGTTAATTCACTTACGAAAATCTCCTTCTGGACCTATTGCAGCCAAGAAAGCTCCTTCTGCCTGCTCTGCCCCCTACACAGTACTGGCAGTTGGAGCATGCCCACCTTGTTTCCTCTGGTGTGCTAGGAGCAGAGGACTGTGAACATCTCGATGGCAGGGGCTGAATTTCCTGTCAGCATTCCAACTACTGTGTCTGCCTTTTGCACCATAAATGTTTTCCCTTGTGAGTTGGAAAGACTCAATTGACACTTCATAGTGAAAAGAGTTTGGTGAAGGAGATCAGAGGAGCTTCTGCAACTAGTTTTATCAAATGAGCAACAGCCCCAAGCCCTGTTTTTTCACGTCCCCTTGTTGTCTGATACCTCTATCTCCTGCATTTCCTAGAGGTGGAGCTAAGGCCCCTACCCCATTTTCTCTCAAGTGTTTTATTATCTCTGCCTCTGTAATGGTTCCCTGTGGAAGGGTATGCTGGCTCTGTGAGTAAGGATGTGGCTGTCTGTGTCTGAGGGGTATCACCAGAGTCCTATTGTCATGCTTATGTATTTTAAAGAGTTGCTTTGAAACCTTCCTTGACTTTTGAGTAGCTATTTGGCCTTTTGTCAAATCACTTAGCCTCTCTGAGTTTCGCATCTCTCTGTTATTATAAAACAGAGTGATTAATGTCTCCCCCAGCATGCTCTCTGGTTGTGAGCTTCAAGAGACAATTTGTATGGTCAGTGTAAATTACATGACTGGACACAGTGTCTGGCACATTCTGAGAGTCCAAATGTTGTTACTATTTCTTATCCTACTGTTGAAATTTCTGTACTTTCTGCCCTCTGCCTATCTCTCCAGTTTCCTTGGTCACTTCCTGGAATTTGTCTTTATCCTGTCCCCAGCCACCAACCTTGTCTTCCAAGACTGGTAAAAGATGACCGGGGAAGCCCTGTGCAAGCCCATTCACATTCTCCCTCTATCTAAAAATAGGTCTCTACTCTCCCATTCTTGATAACTGTACTACAAATTTCTGGGCAAGAACGATGAGGTCAGACGCATCTGTGTATCTTTATTATCATCCATTCCTCCTCCTCCAGGGCTTTGTAGTCTTACCAAAAAATCAACCCAAACCCACTGCCATCTAGTTGATACTACTCATAGTGATCTTGCAGGACAGAGGGCAGAGCAGAATTGCCCTCGGAGGGTTTTCAAGGTGGTAAATGTTTATGAGCAGACAGCTGCCTCATCTTTCTGCTGTAGAGCACCTGGTAGATGCCAACCACCAACCTTTTGCTTAGCATCCGGGTGCTTAACCACTGTGCCATCAGGGCAGCCTTACAGTAAGTAGCCCTTTAATAATGTTAGGTGAGTAAGGGGATGTTTTTGACTGTTGTCTGTGTGTGTGACTGGTGAGTTCAAGTCTTCATGTGCATCTCACAGTGGGGTAGGGGTGTGTGTGTGACAGAGAAAAGGGATGTGTCAGGTGTGACTGGGATTCTGACAGTTTGCATCTATATCTGAGACAAGTGTGCTTCTATGACAGTGAATCTGTGATTCTGTGTGATTGGGGCCGTGGGGGGTGTTTCTTCCTGTGGCAGATTCTAGGGAGCTATCTCTGGACAGTTTGTTTCAGTGACAAGGCTGTATGTCTGATGGTTCATGTGCTTATGGCCAGATACACTGTCTGTCCATGTCTCTGGTACTGTATGGTTATGAATTGGGCTGCTAATTTCAAGGTCAGCAGTTCAAAACTACCAGCGGTTCCGCAGGAGAAAGATGAGGCTTTCTGCTTCCATAAAAGATTTACAGCCTCGGAAACCCTACGCAGGGTCGCTATGGGTAGGAATTGACTCGACAGCACTTAACAACAACAACTTGTGAGTCCAACACATTAGCATCTATGTATGTCTTTGGAGCAGTGCCTGCCTGTCTCTGGAGCATCTATGTGTCTTCCTGTGTCAGACTCTGAGTCTCAATTTTGGGACAGTATAAGTTTTCTGACAGTGCATGTCTAATGGTGTCCATGTCTTAATAACAAATTCTGTCAGTGTGGCTGACAGGACATTTCTGTTTCATCGTCACATGGCAGTGTCAGATGCGTGAGTCCCTGAAGTGCTTGTCTTTGGTAACCATGTATTTTTCAGTGTCTGACAACTCTGTGTCTTACTCTGCTACAAGCGCTTGCTTTTCTGGGTGTCATTCTGGGACCTAAATATTGTGCCTACCTGCTAGTGTATATTAGTCTCTTCTGACAGTGCATGTCTGTATGTCAACACAAGCTTACATGAATGTGACAGTGCATGCTTGTCTTCATCTTGCAAGGGTAAGTCAAAAAATATTGCTACTGTGAGTTCAGCTCATACACACACAGGTATATTCCAAACAAAATATGTTTAAATTTGTTTCCACAATCAGTAGATGATTGCAGACGAGCTCTCTCAGTAATATACTGATCTTAGTATTTTTGTTGTTGTTGTTAAAGTGCTGTTGAGTCGGTTCTGACTCATAGTGACCCTGGATAGGGTTTCCAAGGACTGGCTGGTAAGTTTGAACCGCCAACCTTGCAATTCAAACCCAGCTGGAAGTCAAGTGCTCGTCCTTATGGTGCCATACCAGGACTCCTAGTCTCTTTAGGGTGCCTTCCAAAAAGATAAATATAAATGTCTAATCAAACAGTGGCTGCTGAGGGGATTTGCTTGGCCAGTTAAATTCAAGGCAGAGAGGTTTGCTCAGAAAGTCAAGGTTATGGTGACTGTGTTCTGGGGTTCCAAAACGGTAATCTAAATAGATTTTCTCTAAGGACCCAGGGACTTAATTAGAAGGAAGAAATTGGAGGAAAATGGAAAACTGCATTGATGAGAAAAAGACCAGGAAAATTTGTTCTAAGAATTTTCTTTTTTTCTAGTAACAATGCACCTGCTCATTCTTCAAGGGTAGCAAAGGTTGTCCTACAAGAATTGCGTTGGGCAACCTTACCTCATCCATTATACAGCCCCGATCTTGCCCCATCAGATTTCTATTTCCCCAAATGCAAAGAACATTTAAAAGGAACACAATTTGGATCCCTGGAGGATGTCAAAACTACCTTTTGGATATGGTGTAAATCCAGGAGCACAATATATTTGAGAGAAGGATTGGAAAGATGGAAACACCATCTTCTGAAACGTATAGGTCTAGAAGGAAGATATATCAAGAAGCAGTACTTCACATTTGATATTTGTGTTTAATAAAGGTTTCTATAGTTTTATAGCAATACTTTTTGACTTACCCCAATACATGGAGTTTTCCGTGTGTGTCTTTTTCGAGCATATATCTGATTTTCTGGGGAGCTCAGTGGCTTAAGCACTGGACTCCGAACCACAAGATTGGTGGTTTTGAGTCCACCAGCCACTTCACTGGAGAAAGATGAGGCTTTCTGCTCCCTCAAAGACTTAGCTTCTGAAACTGCTTGCAGGGTAGCTATGAGTGGGAACGACCCTATGGCACTTAACATCTTCTTACTTCCTGCGGTGGAGAGCCCCTGGAGGCTATTTTTCACATCTTGGCGTCTGAGTTAATTGCTAGCAGCCTCTACCATCCATTCTCAGTCCCTGTCTCTCTCATCCTGAAGCACAGTCCCACTCTGCACTCCAATCACCCTCAACCCTTAGGGAACCACCCTCCCTTGCCATTTCTGATCCAACACCTGTTGACTGGTCCCACAGCTAGCTTTAGCTAGTTAAGGGCGCCCCGCAGTACGACTCTCCAGCATGGGAACACTTGCCTTTGACAGGCACTTTGCCTCGATGCTAGTTAGACTGGGTTGGTAGCTGGACTGGCTGAGGTGGAGGATGACAGTTTCCTAGACTTGAGTAAAGAGCACCCATTGTGACTAGGTCCTGGGTAGCTTAATCTTACAAACCGGGACTGGCGTTATCTCTGCGTTAGTCTGGAGACGCTGCAAATCAACTAACTTGGAAAGAGGGGGTACAGATACATATATATTTAAGTTTACGTGTATGTGTAAAAACCCCCAACGGAACAACCAAAACAAAAGCTGGTGCTGCAAAGGGATTCCCAGAATTGGTTTCCTCTTCTACTGCGTCCCACCTAAAGCCTGCCCTCTTTTGCATGCAGCTCCCGCCCTACAAGAACCAGACTCACATTTGCATGAAGGGGTACTTAATGTGTGGGGTGGTATGCAAATAAGGATTGGCTCCTATTGGCTGGGGTACAGCAGGTGCCTTGTCCGGATTGACCAAAACCTAGAGGGCGGGGCCGTCGCCCCGGGCGACTCTCCCGGGTGGCGCGTGCCCTGTCTCAGAAGCGTTGGCGCTGGCGCGCGCAGTGGATGCTAAGATTGTACCATCTGCTGCCGTGCCCGGGCCACCAGTGTCCCTTCCTTCCATCCTGGCGCCCCCTGGCCCTGGCTCCGCGGCCTCTCTGTCCCGGGCACCCCAGACTTGCGGGCTCAATCTGCGCAGCGTCTCCATGTTGACCAAACCTCTGCAGGGGCTTCCCGCGCCCCCAGTGACTCAAATGCCGCCACCAGGTGAGCGCAGCCTTCCTTACTGTGACCAGACCAGACGGGGTGGGTTGGAATACTGGGGCACTGCGCAGGGTGAGGGGGTCGTGGCCCGGCTAAGCACTCCGTTGCCCTGACTTAGTCGCCTCCGCCCGCGTAGGAGGCAAGAATCGGGAAGCATTTGAGGCTGAATACCGACTCGGTTCCCTCCTGGGCAAAGGGGGCTTCGGCACTGTCTTCGCGGGACACCGGATCACAGACCGACTCCAGGTATTCATCACGAAGGTCTTGGGGAGGGTCAGTTGTGTGTAAGTGGATGGAAGGCCGGGGACTGGGATGCTGGCAGAGTGGAAAGTGCTTGCGATGTGTGTAGTAGGGTCATGAGAACCAAGATCCGGTTGCTGGGAGTGTTTGTGTGTGTGCATTTGTAGGAGGGGGTGGTGTCCAGGTGGGTATATGAGGGGGGGGGCAGTAGGAAGTTTCAGGGAAAGGATTCTGGAGGTTCAGGGAGTGAGAGTCATAAGGACACTAGACCCAGGATCCAGGGAACATGTGGGAAGGTGGGAACCCAGGTCAGAGATTTTTTTGGATTTTGGAGGCAGACGTTAAGTATGGAGTTGAGAGTACCAAAACCCCAGTACAGAATTGAGCATTTATTGTGTCAGGAAATTCAGAACTCAGAACCTGGAAGTGAGGGGTTATGCCTGTGAAGGGAGAGCTGGGGGTTAAGGATGGTGGGAAGGGTGAACTTGGTTTTGAGGACTTTGAGGCAGGTAGGGGGAGAAACCCTGGCTCATTCTGGGTTGTGTGGTGTGGTGTGTGGTTGGGAACCAGAGACTAGGGTACTTGGCAAATGGAGAGGCACTGGAAATGGGCAGAGTCTACTGAGAAGGGTTCTGGGGGTCACTTGTTGGTCCTCTTACCCCCTGCTCTCTTCTCCAGGTGGCCATTAAAGTGATACCCCGAAATCGTGTGCTGGACTGGTTCCCTTTGGTGAGTATCTCTGGAGTTCTTCCTTACCAGTAGACTCCATCTCTGCCCTTTCGTTTCTAGGTGATAGATGATTGCCTGGGCCCTTGTTTACTCCCCTGAAGTGACATCCATACCCCCATCCTGTTCTGACTCACCCCAATTTCCCTAGAGCCCTGGATTCTCCCCTCCAACCCTGTTTTCTCACCCACCAGCCAAACCCTGTTTTGGGGGCTGTCCTCAGGGCATGCTGGTGAAAAAAAAAGGTGAGAGGTCACTGGTTGCCATGGTTATGGTAGCTCCTCTTTACTGCCATTAGCGAGGTAACAGACTACTGGGCAGGTCTGGGCAAGTTGTAGAAGCGAGAGCGCCCCCTGGTGGGCTCTAGGGAGCTTACACCGGCCCAGGCCATGGGACTTAAAGGAATGAGGTATGCCTGCGCAGCAGTGAGATTTGCATTACCGTGAGAAAACCAGTCTGCTGCTGTGCAAGTCAGTGGCTTGGCTGGGACAGGGTCCTCCCTTATCTCTCTTGCCATTGGTGTACCTGCCCTGAGCTTCCTAGATTGGATGGAGCAGTTTTTGTGGCCAGTAAAAGATTTATGCCTTTTCTTGAGTTCAGGCTTTGGTTCATTGAAAAAAGTTTGCTGTGTACCAAATTCTACTGAGCACTTTCATTCAACACTGTTCTAGGTGCTTGGTGACTGATAAAATATCGTATGATAACATGTATTGAGTTCTTACTTTGTACTAGGCCTTTTGCAATTAATCACTTTCAGCTACCTAACAAATAATATGTTAAGTATCTACCATGTTCTAGGTATCAGGCAAAATATTACATATTTATTTATTGAGAGATTATTTTGTGTTAGGTTCTTTTCTATTAATTACTTTCACCTATTTAACAAACATTTATTAAGCCCTATCCTGGTGTGGTGCTGTGGGTTAATGCGCTAGACTGCAAAGTTGTTTGAACCACAAGGTCAGCAGTTCAAGCTCACAAAGCTGCTCCTTGGAAACCCTATACAGGGTTGCTTTGGGTCAGAACTGGCTGAATGGCACTTTTAACAACAACAACAACAACCCTGGTGACATAGTGGGTTATCCATGGGACTGCTAACTGCAAAGTCAGTGGTTCAAATTCACCAGCCACTCTGAGAGAAAGGTGAGGTTATCTGCTCCCATAGAGATTTACAGCTTGGGAAACCTGAGGGAGCATTCCACTCTATCCTATAGGGATTGCTATGAGTTGGAATTGACTTAGTGGCAGTAGGTTTGGGTTTTTTGAGTTTTATACCCTTTTACCGAGTCCCTGGAGGGTGCAAACGGTTAAGGTGCTTAGTAATCAAAAGGTTAGTGGCTTGAGTCCACCCAGAGACACCTCAGAAGAAAGACCTGGTGATTTAATTTCTAAAAATCAGCCATTGGAAACCCTATGGAGCACAATTCTATTCTGACACACATGGGATCACCAGGATTTGGAATCGACTTAATGGCAGCTGGTTATGTTACCAGGCACTGTTCTAGTGCTTGAGATAGGTCACTGAACAAAACAAACCATTACATCCTAATAGTGTTTACTGAGCGTTAACTCCATGTTGGACTCTGTGCTATAAAGTGTTTTCATCTATTTAATGTTAATGAGCACCTACTGTGTGCAAGGTACCGTTCTAATCTTTTGGGATATATCAGTGAACCAAACAGATCAAATAGTACATAATAGTATTTATTAAGTGCTTCCTCTTCTGCCAAAACTTTTTGCAGTTTCATTCTTTTTGACTATCTACTGAGCTCCTCCTATGTGCCTGGAGTGTGTAGGCTCTTTGTTCCTTTCACTCTTCCAATGGCTCTGTGACTTTGCCTTTAAGATGAGGAAACTGAGGCCTATGATGGGAAGTGGGTTGCTTAAGGCCACACAGACAAGCTGCTGAGGAGCTGTGATTTGAACCTACGTGAGAAGTTGACCTCAGAGCTGCTGGCCTGACATAAACCTTCTCATTTCTCTCCCTGCTTTCTCATCCCAGACAAACTCGGCCACTTGCCCGCTTGAGGTGGCACTGCTGTGGAAGGTGGGTGCAGGTGGTGGGCACCCTGGAGTGATCCGCTTGCTTGACTGGTTTGAGACACCAGAGGGCGTCATGCTGGTTTTTGAGAGGCCTTCACCTGCCCAGGATCTCTTTGACTACATCACGGAGCAGGGCCCTCTGGGTGAGGACCGAAGCCGCTGCCTCTTTGCACAGGTAGTATCAGCTGTTCAGCACTGCCATGCCTGTGGAGTTGTTCATCGTGATATCAAAGATGAAAACATCCTGATGGACCTCCGCCGGGACTGTGCCAAACTCATTGATTTTGGGTCTGGCGCCTTGCTTCATGATGAACCCTACACTGACTTTGATGGTAAGACTTGCCAAATTCTCATTGGGGGAATTTTTTACCTTTATTGTTAATGGCCTCTTGATCTTTGACGTCCCTTTATAAGATTCTTAATTTCTAATATTGAGGGCTCTTGAATCTTGCCTTCCGAGATAGTTCATCTTCTGACAATACTCTGACTCTATCATGGGACCTTGCTATTATCCTGAATGCTCTCTTATTCTAATGAGGGTACCCTATTGTTACCATAAATGTGTTTATTCTTGTGTTGGGACCTGTTGTTATGGTTAAAGTGCTTCTGTTTTGGTAAGGGGAACTTGCTCTTAATTCTGGCAAGGAGAAGGCGTAGGACCAAGGGTATTATCAGAGAGTGATCTAACCCTCAACTTGTGTACAGGGACAAGGGTGTACAGCCCCCCAGAGTGGATCTCTCTACACCAGTACCATGCGCTCCCGGCTACCGTCTGGTCACTTGGTATCCTCCTCTATGACATGGTGTGTGGGGACATTCCCTTCGAGAGGGACCAGGAGATTCTGGAGGCTGAGCTCCACTTCCCTGACCATGTCTCTTCAGGTGAGGCCCTCACTGGCCCCAGCCCAACAAACTCTTCTCTCTCCCAGGGATTGGTGGCCCCTTACTGACTGCTAATCGCTTTTATGCTTCTGCCTTGCAGACTGCTGTGCCCTAATTCGCCGGTGCCTGGCTCCCAAGCCCTCTGCCCGTCCCTCACTGGAGGAGATTCTGCTGGACCCCTGGATGCAGACACCAGCCAAGGATACTGCAACCCTCACCACCCCCAAAGGAGATCCCAACCCCGTGGCATGGTCCCTGCTGCCCTAGGCCTATCCAGATCCGCACTGGCCAGAAGAGCCATCTCATAACCATGCCATGGGGACACTTGGACATCTGTTGACTTGGTTTTACAGGTCATTAAAAATCCAGTGTTACCAGGGGATCTACAGTTGTTACTACAGGGGTTTTGGGGATCAGAGGTCAGGACATAGCCAAGTCTGTCTAGTCCCCATTCCAGTCCTACTAAGGAGCCTTCCTCAACCTATGGCTTCTTATTCTGGAGGGGGTACTTGCTTGTTTCCCATCTTGCTAAGAATGATTATTTGAAGTTATGTCCTTTCTAAACCCCAGGACTCTTATTCTGATGAGGTGCAACCCCTACACTGACACCACCTCCTATCACCACATACAGTAAGTTCAAGTGTAGTACTTGGGCAAGGGTGCTTTTCTAACACTCCTAGCAACTCTTATTTTGACAAAAGGGCCCTTTCCTTTAGCCTAAGGTCCCATATTCTGTCAAGATGCCTGCCTACCTCAGCCCAGTGTTGCTTTTTCTGGGGGAGGCAATGCCCTATTGTTATCCCAGGCCTTTTTTCTTTTTTTTTTTCTTTTTTGGGTGAGGGGATCCTACTGTTATCTCAAGTGCTCTTATTCTGGTGAAGAAAACCCTACTTCCTTGACTTGGGAAGGAATGGAAAGTGGGCAACAGAGACTAGGATGGAATGGATGGCTTTTGGGGGGATAAGAAGAAGGAAATAAGTTGTGTTTCCTGTTCTTCTGGGGCCCTCCTCTCTAACTTTTACAGATTCTTTCTTACTGCCTAGGAGCCAGGATTGTCCAATTAAAGAGATGTAAATACTTATGTATGAGAGGGGGCGGGATGGGGGGAGGTGGGAAGCTCCAAGTGTGCTCTTCTCTCCCTTTTCTCCCTGCTTGGATTATTTAAAAAGCCATGTGTGGAGGCCCATTATTTAATAAACATAATCGTATCAGAAGTGACTGCCCATTTGTAATTAATGTAGGCTGAGCTAAGAGGAAGATCAGATGTACTTATCGTCTGCTTTCATCTTGTGGTACCTAAAGAATTTATATGGGTTTATTGCAGCAGGAGGACAAAGAAAATTTATTTTACCCCTAGCACACTTATGCTACGCTAAGTGTGTGCAGGAGGGAGTTCCCTTGAGGATATTGAGAGAAACTGAAGATGCCTCTCCTCTGATTTACCCCTACCTGCTCATCCCTTTTATCTCTACTTCCTCAACTCTTGACTTACCTACCCTGCACTATTCTATCTTGGTTTCACTTGTCCAAATCTCAGCTGTCCCCTCCTCCTGCCCTGCTTTCAAATGCAATCATGGCTGCTGTCTTACCTGCCCTTCCTTGCTTGCCCTTTGCTAATTTATCTGTCCCCATCTCACTTTTCCATCAATGGTGGCTCACTTGCCCTCCTCTCTTTCAGTCTCAACTGTCATGCGCTTTCCTCAATGGAGTATACTCTCACCTGTCCCCACTTGCTGCTTCACCCATTACTCCCTCACCTGCTCAGCCCCCACAAGGTCTCATTTTCTCCTACCGCGGGCTCCCCCGGAGAGATGGGGCCTATCTGGGGAAAGGAAAAATGGAACTTTAGTCCAACCCGGAAGGTCCTAGGAGTTTTTTGACACGAAAAGGGAGATGCCAATAAAGAGCCGAGTTAGAAGTTTATGGCGGTAGGGGCGGGGCTGGGGGGGGGCAGGTCCAATGGCAACTAGTCCAATAAGAAGAAAAGAAAGTGTGGGCGGGTGATGCGATGAATCGGGTCAAAGGGGGGCGAAAGAAAACGAGGGCGGGTCCAGTAGTAGAATGGCTGTTGCAAAGTGCGGGAGAGGCCAAGTCATCCGCGTTTCCGGTCCCAATGTAATTCGGATATCCCGAAGTTGCCCACTTAAAATTCCGCTTTAAAGGGTAGACGAAGAAAACCACCGCTCTAGCCGACTTCACATTCGCCCATCCTCATTCTGGAGGCCCGGAAGCGGAAGTTATGGACACGGAAGTGGCCTGCTGTTGCCGAGGGGACGGGCCGGGCAGATGCCAACATGGCAGCGGTTGGGGCTGGCGGTACCACTGCGGCGACTGGGCCAGGGGTGGTCTCAGTGGGGGCTTTGGAGCCTGGGACCTCGAGTGCGGGTGAGAGGGGCTGCGACAGAGCAGTCTGCGGCGGGTTGGGGATCGGGATCGCTAGGGATCGGGAAGGTTCTTCACTGAAGCTGGAGGGAGCATCCCATATGGACTGACTTATGTCTTTCGGTCAGGGAGGACGGAATGGACCACTGTGAGTGTGCTGGTGGTGGTTATGTGCCGTGGAGTCGGTTCCGACCCATAGTGACCCTGTACAGGGTTTCCGAGGCTGTAAATCTTTACGGGAGCAGAAAGCTTCATCTTGCTCCCGCGGAACAGCTGATAGTTTTGAACTGCTGACCTTAAGGTTTGCAGCCCAATTCGTAACCACTACGCTACCAGAGTGTGCTAGGGGTAGATAAAAGGCCATTCTGAGAGTGATTGGGTGGTGGCCGGGGGTGTCCTTCTTCCGGTAGAGGGTGGAGGCCTTTCTGAGTGTTGAAGGCATTTTTTTTGGGGGGGGGGGAGGCTTAAAACATTCTGAGAGTGTGTAGTTTCCCTTTAGAAGGGAGAGACCATTCTGTATGTGTGTGTGTGTGT